GAGAGAGAGAGCACAACCCTGAACCGGACTCTTCCCTCCCTTCCGACTCCCTCCCTCCCTCCCTCCCTCCCTCCCTCCCTTCCTCCCTCCCTTCCCCCCGCCCCTTCCCGTGTCGAGCAGCGACGAGGTATATACGGCCCGTTGCTAATCTTCCGATTTGCCAACTACCAGGTACCTTAGGTAGGGAATTGTGATCGAAATGGGATGGGAAAATGTTAATAGCCGGCCATAACCCTCCTCATCACTGTCATCAGGGCCCCTCTCTCTCTCTCTGATGACAGGACTGTTTGATGATGATGATGATCATGACCGGCCACTCTCTGATAATGATGATGATGATGAGTGGACTTTTTGTCCGCAATAGACATCCCTCCCCATTATCTACCATGCTTGCACTACGCATAGAACCGACCGCTGTTCACATGCCGGGTCTTTTTCGGAAACTCTGCGAGAGATCCTTTGGGACGATGGAGGAGGAGGAGGATGAGGTAGGTAAGGTAGGTTAGGTAGTTACTGGACTGCAGGATACCGGCTTGCACGAGAGGGACAAAAAAATATCCTCCGGCTGCGGCTGCGTCACTTTTATGTATATCAGAAGGTCGGGTGTGATGTGAAAACTTACAAAGTGGTTGAGAATCATTACGGCAGAAGATTCTTTCTTTCTTATATATTGAAATCCTTTCGACGTCAACCAGAACTTTTTTTTTGATCTATCATTTTCTCTTTTCCCTGGAGGCAGAGCAGAAAGAAGGCAGTTCCCCTTTTGTCGGTTATGTGTGGCCACATCAAAGTTCAATATGCGTGTAAACATATACGCTATTGCGTACTATTCTGGTGTAAGCTATTATCATCTTTAGCCTTGGCAGATTTTGAAGCGAAACACTTTTCAGGTATTTTAAACCTGACTTGTGTGTATATGTGTATTGGATATGTGTGTGGGTGTGTGTGAGACAGAAGAAGATGAGAGGCTAACGTGGAATGGAGGCGCGGAGTATATGGATACTCAACAACGATGTCCGCTGCAGATCTGCAGACGGGAGACGAGATTGTTAGACGTTTGTGGTGAGTTCAACAAGTTTTTTACCTACCTGACCTTACCTTACCCTATTGGAAGTGCTATTAACATGAAACTGGTAGGAGACTGTCGAGATACGAGTTCGTTGTCTGTTCGGAGGCCATGTCGAAAAGTTGTCAATTGAGTGTATCACACATCAATATCGTTCATGGCGACGAGATTCTGTTGGCAACGAAAGAAACTTCGACACCTACCTTATACACCTATTTCCGCAACTTCAACGACCCCTCGGAGAATGGGTATCCATCATTCCACAGTGACGCTGGAAACGGGAAAACTCGACACGAAATTTTCGCACAAGACGGCGCGGCTTTCAAGACTTTCTTTCCAAAAGAGCTCGACATTAAACGTCCTGGAGGCATCTGCTCACTAGCACAACTTGTTGTTCGTGTGATGCTCTTCACCTCGCTATGAGTGAGATTTGGGAACTAGGAACTAGCCAGATCAACTATCGAACGCTGGCTGGAAACCTACCTTATCGATCTAGAGCTTGTCTGAACAAAACATTTCTTGGCCGACATATATATATACATACATATATACAACTATACAACTACACAAATACACACGAAAGTTCCAAATACTATAAAATGGAGGGAGAAGCCCCAGAATCGGTCAATCTAACTTCTTCCGGAGGTCAAAAAAAAAAAAAGAAAAAAATACATTGCAGTTCACTTTTTTCTCTCTTTTTCTTGTCCATAAAGCAAGCTGATCTTTGACCGTTAATCTAACACACCCACGACCTCCTCACAAGACGAGAAACAAAACTATACCTTCCCTAAGGTATAGAAGATAGATAGCATCATGTATATACTAAGGTACCTTAGGTACATATAATCTTACGAATCACTTTTTTTATTTTATTATTCTACCGTCTATCTGATCTTCTATCCCCGTCCTCCTATCCGCCCGCTGGCCCGCTGGCAGAAGGCGGGCGCCGACGGGCCGTAGAATAAGAAGAAGGACATGGATGAATCCATGTTTGTATGTATGTGCATGTATGCATGTATACATGTACAGGTATGTATATATACATATGTGGGAGGTAGACCTAGGGTCAGAGGTCCTAGGGCGTGCAGAGGCAGAATGCGGAAAGAGGGACTAGGGGGGAGGGATATGGGGGATGTTTTAGATAGATATGTAAGGTAGGTATAGGTATGTGTGTGTGTGTTTGATATGTGAGGTGAGGTAATAAGTGAGGTAATGAGTCAGAGAGAGAGAGAGAGAGAGAGAGAGAGAGAGAGAGAAGAGAGAGAGAGAGAGAGTCTTCTTACTTCTACTT